AACATTGTGAGTGTAGAAAATATGTAGTAATAAGAAAAGAAGTTTAAACACACCATAATCATTATATATAATGAATTAGTACAATATTTTACACTTTATACATTGCATGGTAAGATACATGAGTGACTTAGTACCATATAGAGTTCCTATCAAGGTCTAAAATATCGATGATATCGGAAATATTAGTAGTCAAAAAACACGGAAATTTCGATTGAGATATTGGGATAATATCGATATTTTAGACCTTGCTCACACCTATATCTTATATTCTCATCTACCTTTTAATAAAAAATTTAATTTCAAATTTGTCCATTTACAAAAAGACTGATAAGGGCATTAATGATCTTGTTTTGCTTCAATGAAAGTAAAAAAATAGAAATGGACTTAGAAGATGATTTTTTCATTGAACATGTAGAAGACAATGGGGTGGGTCTATTAGCTCTCTTTGTAAATTACATTTCACTTGCTCAGATTTAAGTATAACTATAACCTCATACATCTTTAAAATATTTCAATCTCATAGACAAACTTCTATTTGTTGCAATTTCATACATCTGTTAAGTGATGACGTGACAAATGTACGACCCACATATTTGATGACGTGGCGTATAAAAAATAATTGGTTATCCAAAAACAATTTAAACAAAAAATTAAGTGTTTTTTTAACAAACGATATTAGAATACAACGCTCTAAGTGTTTTTTGAACAGACGATATTATTTATACTATGAAATGGAAGTGGGCTTAAGCCTCACAATAGGCTAACCATAATAATGTGGTTCAAATTTGTTTTTGAAGAAATATATAACTAGACCGTAGTACTAATTGCTTGCAAATGTAATTTTAATATAAAAAAAAGTTAAATTTAGTCCAATTTTGATAGTGCATTTAGTAAAAACTCAAAAATTGTGTATCTTCAAATTAAACTCTTTGATCAACTTGCTACATAAGCAAACTTTGAGTGCATGTTTCATTCCTGTTTTACCCCCAATGAGAAGTAGGCACACTCATTAATTATTGAGTAATGTTATTCATACTATGTTTTTATATCACATTTCTATACCTTAGGTGATACTTGATGTGAACAACCACGTCATTTGAAAAAATTGCAAAACTTGAGGAAAGGAAGGAGAAAGACTTCTCGTATACCACAATCATCATTTAATTAATTAGTTTTTTCTTAATTATTAGTTTATTCAATAATGAACTAAATTAAAAAATCTGATTAATTCAAATGATGTGGTTGTCCACATCAAATGCCACCTAAGGTGGTATGAAAATATAGTACAAAACATGGTATGTATAGCATTATTCTTAATTATTAACTTATTATATGTATTTAATGTTCTGTCTAAAACGTTTTATGAGTAATATTAGGTAGATTAATTTTTTGAACCACATTTACAAATCATATAATATGTTACAAATTAAAATAAACACATTAATCAACATTTAAGTCATATGATTTACAAAATATAAGTTAAAAATAATTTTCCGCGCATTACCCCTTTTTTTTTAGTGTAGTTCACACACATGTTGGCGTGTCAGCTGTTACCACATATTGTTAAAGATGTGTGTTATCCATACATTTTTTTTTTAAACGTCTATTATTACTTTTTGTCTTTTGATCTTTTTCATTTCATCCGATTCGACTGTCGAAAATTAGAAAAATGTGTGAAAAGTGAAAAGGCATATTGTACACGTGGACAAACAAGAGTTTACTTCAAACCAACATGATCCTCTCCTGATCCTTTTGGTGAAGATCTTAAGAATTCGTAAATCATATCCGTTCATCGTATGTAATAGCCCTTATCCCAAAATAGCATAACTCTCACTGGGCCCAGCCCCTTTGTGTTAACTTAAGGCCCGGGATTCTTTTTAAATTTGTTTAGGCCTAAACCCGGCCTAAGGTTAGGTTGAATTAACCACTTGTGAACCTGTCTTCTTTCTTTCTTATTAGTCTGAAAACTGAATCTCTTCTCTCTCAGCTCACACTCTCTCTTTGACTCCGAGAAGAAGACACCCCAATTCCTCTTGATTCCGAAATTCTCAAAAACTTGAAGTTTGGACCTTTAGGACCTAGAGGAGATACCTACAGAGTTGAATGTTACATCTGGGCAGCTCTGCTTAGTCTGCCATTAGCACCGAGGGCTTCAAGCTCTAAATTCCAGTCTCAGGTGAGGTTTTTCCTTTCTCTTTCGAATTGCTGGGACTGCGTGTTGGTTGTAGTCGATTTGTGACGAATACTTACCTTGAATTCCTAGTTCTAAAACCTACATGTATACTGTTTCATATTTCCAGAATTCCGACGACAATTTCCGTCGAATTTCGTACACATTTCGGCCAGTCTCGACCACGGTCGAGTCTCAAAGGGGTATATTCTTGTTCTTTTCTTCTTGGGTTTCAGTTTTAGTTTAAACAGCTTTGATTTGGTTGAGTTTTAAGTTAAATCAGAATCGGGGAGGAATTCTGGCAAATATTTCGGTGTCTCCCTCGAGGGGCCCGATTACCCATGACTTAATTCGGGTCGACTCGACCTATATGTAATTCGGCCCAAGTCTCTCTAACCCAACCCATTTAGCCCAATTTATTTTATTAAAACTTAAGCCCAATAATCCTTTAAGACCCAATCCCATTTTCTAACCCTAACCCAAACCCAATACTCACGAACCCAAAACCCCAGACCCAACAAGCTAGATCAGAGCCCAGACCCGACCCAGACTCAGGCCTGAACCCAGATCCACGGCCTGCTCGTGGGGGCTGGCGCGTGGAGCACACACGACTCCGGCGGAGGCGACGGCGTCAACGATTTTTCTGGCCAACTTTCCAACGACTCAACTCAGCGTGTGGCGGTGCATGCGGCGGCGTGTGGGGACTTATGGAATATTTTGAATATATTAGATTTACTTTACGTTGATGCATAAAATCAATGAGGACTTTGGGACAACAGAAAGTGTTAAGTTTGTGATCTTCGCTAGATGGCTCCGGTCACTAGTGTGGATAAGTGTGTAAATGGATAGGGACAAGGAAGCAAACACAAGATGTACGTGGTTCACCCAGATTGGCTACGTCCACGGAGTAGGGGAGTTCTCATTAATTGCGAAGGGTTTACACAAGTACATAGGTTCAAGCTCTCAAATAGTGAGTACTAGTGAATGATTTAGTACAAATGACATTATGAAATATTGTGAGAGAATGATATCTATTTATAGAAGAGAGTTTCTAGTTTCATTCTGACATTGACACGTGTCGTGTTGTGATTGACTTCTGATGTTAACACGTGTCGCACTATGATTGGCTTCTGATGTCGACACGTGTCGCGCTATGATTGGCCTCCTGGTTTGAGAGAAACTCTTATGGGTCATTGACGGTATAACGTTGATCGATGCTCAGTAGTTTCAAGATTGGTCAAGTATGGTACAAACACTTTATATTAAAGGTTATAAATTATGAGTTTATACATACGAGTTTCAGTAAATTTATGGTGTTTTAGTTCTATGAATTATTGTATGAGGTTTAAGCGTTTGACGTTTGAGTTTTTGACTTGAGCTTTGAGAGTTGAGTTGTGTTTTGGGTTTATATATCTAATGGGTTAACATACAACACATCCACACACCACGGGTATTAGATGTCTATGGCCATAGGACACGGTGATAAGGATGAATGATATATATGTTATACCTCCAGCTTCACTGCCGAAAGCAGTGTCGGACAGCTTCACTAGTCACGGCTAGTGTCGGTGTGAGATGTTATAAAGTTTCTTCTCTATCGTAACCCTGAGTCGTACAACTTCACCTTCGGGTGATGGGACCTACCATGTTTCTTCATTGGTGTAACCTAATGTCGTACAGCTTCACCTTCGGGTGATGGACAAGTATTGCCTGCAGGCGAATATGATACCCCTAGAGAGTATGGTTTTATTGAGAGTTATGGTTTTGTCTTCGGGCGGTGCTAGTACAGTTTTGATGCCTAAGGTTTTACGGAGATTTTTCATGGCATATTAGAGTTTTCAAAAACTTATTGCGTAGTAGTATATATATGTTTTCAAACCAGGGGGTTAGTACGTTCATAAAGGAAATGATTTTCATATTATTAGTATTATAAATTATGGTTCACTCACATTTTCTGTTTTGCGCTCCCTTCAGGACCTAGTGACGAGGATTACGACCCGAGTATCGAGGCTTTTCCCTATCAATAATTATGCGGTCTTCCAGTTGTGTATGGCTTTCTTATGTTATTGTAATTAGATTTCATATTCATACTCGTATGTTCGTGTACTTATGTGCTCTGGACATATTGTGCACTTTGCTTCTTAAATTTGTAACCGTTGAACTTCCGTTGCCTTGATGTTCTAGTCATAATTATATTATCATTGTCTTCTAGTATTTGTTTATTCTTACATAGTTGTAGGTATTTTATGACTTTCGTCATTCTTAAGTGTTGGCCAACACGTGCCATTTAGGTATCAATAGGATATTGGATTGGAGCGTATCAAAGTACATCGTGCGGTCAGTTTTTATCAAGTACTGTTTGTATTTAATTTAAAAAAAAAATATTTAAAATAATTTTTGACCGTACGATATACAATGAATGGATGTGATTCATGAATTTTTGGATCTCACAAACAGGATCCGGATTCTACTTCAAACTCTGTTGCCATAACAAAACTAAGTGTGAGGTTACAAATAGCAAAGCTGTACTGATGACGCTGCAGCTTGTATGATTGTATCTAATCAGTGGGGGAATATACTTACAGGGATTCTAATTCTGTCAATTTTTTTGTAATTATTGCTTAATTAATTACACAGCTAGACAGACTGAGATATTTAACAAAGAGTCAAGTAACACAGTGGAACGATTATAGAGGCATAGAGATTGAAAGGGAGTATAATTCTCCTCTCTCTCTCTCAGTCTCTCTCTTTTTATTTCTTTTTTATTTAAACGATTACGATTAATCCATGTGAATATTAACTTGTGTGGCAGACTGAGACTGACTTTTTGTTTGGTTGCCGACAAAAAGTTAAAAACTGAGTTTTCGCTTGGTGCAACTGGTGAGTTTATAATGGAGTTCAGAGTCTCTGGTTTGGGAGATGAGTGGTACAGTGACAGTGAGGATGAAGAGGGACATGGAGGTGCTAAGGAGTCCATTTTTAGTGGCGGCGGTGGTGGCGCTGCTTCCTATATGGGGTATGGCCGCCGCAGAACAACAGCACCACCACCAAGGTAAAGGTGGGGAGAAGAAGCTGCGGTTTGGGACAGATGGGCAGTTTAAGATTCTGCAAGTGGCGGATATGCACTATGCCGATGGCAAGACCACGCCCTGTTTGGATGTGCTGCCGTCCCAGTTTCCAACTTGCTCTGACCTCAACACCACCGCCTTTGTCCTCCGCATGATCGAGGCGGAGAAGCCGAATCTCATCGTCTTCACCGGTATTTGTTTCCCCCTCTCATCGTTGTTGTTGATGCCTATACATTGTTCTTGGGATAGGATTAATCTTCTGTCCACTATTTAGCTGATGATCATTGGTTTAGGTTTAGCATAGTACATCGTTTTAGCTGATGAGCATTGTATTTTGTTTAGCAAAGTTTTGATTTAGGCATGATACTCGGCTTTCTGATTGGTTCTCCAATCTGAACTTTGTGTAACAGGAGATAACATATTCGGGTTTGATGCCACGAATGGTGCTAAATCTTTGAACGAGGCATACGCCCCAGCAATCGCGTCCAACATCCCGTGGGCAGCTGTGCTGGGGAACCATGATCAGGAATCCGACCTCTCGAGGGAAGGGGTAATGAAACACATAGTTGGGTTGAAGAACACTCTGGCTCAAGTTAATCCTTTAGACAAAGATGTTATTGATGGTTTTGGGAACTATAACCTGGAGGTCGCCGGAGTTGAGGGCTCTGGTTTTGAAAACAAATCGGTTCTCAATCTTTACTTCCTTGACAGCGGAGATTACTCCACGGTTCCCTCCATCGGTGGTTATGGTTGGATCAAACCCTCCCAACAATATTGGTTGAACAAACTTCTGCAAAGCTTCAGGTACTAACCTCGTTATTTTGCTCACCGTTTTTTTTATGGATCACATATACCTAAACTAGTCATTTCCATCAACCCTTGCACAAGATCGATATGTGATGATTAAGATCCATATTGAGCATGTAACTTATTTCTACTTAGTTCTGATGACACCATTTTTTCCCCTGCAGAAAGCATACATAAGCAAGCCACTGCCCCAGAAAGCACCTGCGCCAGGGCTCGCATACTTTCACATACCATTGCCGGAATTTGCTAGTTTTGACTCATCAAACTTTACCGGAGTGAGGCAAGAAGACATCAGCTCTGCTTCTGTGAACTCGGGCTTCTTCACAACCATGGTTGCAGCTGGAGATGTCAAGGCAGTGTTCACAGGTCACGATCACCTCAATGACTTCTGCGGGGAGCTAACTGGCATAAACCTTTGTTATGCTGGGGGATTTGGATACCATGCTTATGGGAAGGCTGGATGGGATCGGAGAGCAAGGGTTGTGGTAGCAAACTTAGAGAAAACGCAAAAGGGAGGATGGGGAGCGGTCAAGTCAATCAAAACATGGAAGCGCCTTGATGACGAGCACCTCACTGCTATTGATGGTCAGGCTCTTTGGAGCAAGAGCTCTGTAGGTACGTATTCCTTAAAGGAGCCCGAAAACTTTACTGCTATTGATGGTCAGGCTCTTTCTAGACATTGATAAGTGGTCTTCTAGGAACGTATTAAGTGGTCTTTGTTCCGTTTACGCATAAAATAACAATTTAACTAGCTTGTGATTGACTAAATAATCATTTGCATCCATGTAGGCTTTTTACTTGATTTCATTCCATGGATAATTCTTATATGCTCATCAATGTGGAGATGTTTTATTGTTCAAAACTTCTGCCTGTTCACTAAAAGTTGTAGTTTTCTGAACAACTTGTTAAGTTGTTCGATCCCATGCTTATGTGATACTGGATCTAGAGTTGTGTTTTTATCTGTCCAGCTTGTTAGAATTAATATAACAGCTTTGCCACAATAATACGACAGTAAAATTCTTTCTTCCGCCTCTCAACTTTCTTCATTGTGTTGGTCGCAAGTCATCGTTGCTTGCTGCTAAAGGAATGCCTTATACACTGAGACTCTAGTTTCCTCATACACTTCTAGACCATCTTAGCCAAACACCTTCTCCCCATTTCTCACTCAAAATCCGAAAAGAGAAGCTGGAAACATCTGATCTTGATCTATGATAATGATGATTTGTGTTAAATATTGTATCCGCTGCTTCAACTGTCATGATGGTTTAATATTATATCAAAGGTCAAAATTCATTTGTATTTCTCACATACCATCGCCTGCTTCATCTCATTTTCTTGTTTCATCTATATTGAGCAGGTATTCGTAGAAAACCTGTTGGCGGTAATTGAGTAACGAGCACAAGCCAGAAAGTATGTAGGGAGAGTTCATAGGCAAGAAACTAGGCATAAGAAAGTTGTTGAAATCCCGGCGAGGAAATTGTCATTTGTTTCTTTGTAATTTAAAAGACAATAAATAAAATCTATCAAAAAAGGGAGTAATGTAAAGTTTGTATGCTATGTAAGTGCATTCTGAAATATGGTAAGCAGGACCCAGACAAATGATGTAACATGGTTGATTGTCATTATACTATAGACTGGTTATCTACAATTGGTGACGATGGCGTGTGTTGATCTACGATTGGTGACGATGGCGTGTGTTGATCGCGCAAGCCATCGTCGCTGCAGCAAATTCTCAACGCGGGACATCTTCTGAAATCGTCAAACCATTTGTAGACCAACTATGAGCACTTGTTTGATGTCGGTGAGCAGTAGATCTTCCGGCAAAGAAGGCCGGTTGCTAGGGTTCGGAAAAACTAATAGTTTCAGTTTTCAACATTAGAGCAACTGATGACATGGTTGGCCTATGGTTGGCATCTTGTTGAACACATAATAATCCGATATGGATGTATCTCGAAAATTCGTCTGTGCTGCATGAATCTTTCTACAACGGATCCATCAGCTCCAACACTTTCCCTTCATTCCACAACTGCCAAGCCTGCATGCGGTCGAGGATGTAAAAGTAACACGTCTAATTAAGTTGATAGATAGGTAATTAATCATGCTTACATGTACTGAAAGAGTAGCTGCAGTATCTGTGAGATGAAAGCCTAAAAAGTTCCTTCCCCCGGTTACGATCTCAAGCAAGAGTATGCCGAAGCTAAAAACATCTGATTTTATGGAGTAAAACCTGCCCATAGCATATTTGGGAGTCATGTAACCACTAATTACGTCCAAAATAGTTGCAATCAGAGATAGTTATCAAAGTCAATATATAGGTATATAAATAAGTTGTTTGAGATTAAGCATAGAGGTATAATTAAGTTAAAGAAACTTACTATGTACCGACAATTCCTCTCGTGTTTCCTTCAGTTTGATCGTCAACTCCAAACATTCTCTCCATCCCAAAGTCTGATATTTTTGGTTTCATATTAACATCTAATAAGATATTGCTCGGTTTCAAATCGCGATGTATAACTCTAAGCCTTGAATCTTCATGAAGATATAGAATTCCTCGAGCTATTCCTCCAATTATCATGCAATGTCTTGACCAATTCAATTGTTCTCGTTTTTTCGATTCTATACTCACATTAATCGACAAACAAAGAGTAGTAATCAGTAATATATGTAAGAAATAACAGACAGTTAACAAACAAACCACACACATATATATAGATCAATTCAAGTGATATATGCATTATTGTATTTATATACCATTTAGAAAATAATCAAAACTTTTGTTAGGCACATATCATAGACAAGTATGGTTTCTTCTCCTTCCAAGCAAAATCCCAGAAGCTTCACTAGATTTCTGTGCTGAAGCTTGGCTATCAATAGAACTTCATTCTTAAGCTCTTGTACACCTTGCACCGAGCTTTTCTACAACCTCTTTACTGCTATTTCTTGTCCATTAACACCAAGAGTTCGCTGAAAAATATATATACATGTCACGTATATGTAGGAATTATGCTACGCCCACCTATGTGTGTGTGTGTGTGTGTGTCTATATATATATATATATGTGTATATAAAGTTCCATACCTTGAAAACTTCACCAAATCCGCCTTGATCAAACTTATTACTATCAGAAAACTTGTTTGTGCAGTTTCAATAGTTTCCAAGTCAAGTTGCAAGGACTCAACAGCTGCTATATCATTTCTAGCTATTAAGAAATTAAATTAAGCAGTGATTATAATGAGTTCATCAGAAGATTACACGTAATTGACATCGGAAAACATAAAAGAACAAGTGATCGACTGAATTTAATTGTTTGCTTCTTCTTTTTACCATTCTTTTCTTCTCCCTGGACTTTATGCTTGTTTTGTGGTGATCTCCTCTTGCCTGGGAAGTAGCAGCCAATAGCTACAAGCACCGCACAGACAGTAACAGAAGCAATAATACTGGCGACGATTACTGACAATAGTTTTCTTCTTCCTATACATGAACACGTTTTTTAATATAATCGTTTGAAAACGTTTTCCAAGGATCCGTTTAGATTTGATGCCAAGGGTTGACTTGAGATAAGATTTCTCATAGCCGTTTTGTGTGACGGCAACATGACATGCACTAATATAAATGTGTATATTTATATCATCAACTCTATTACCTTGAGGAGGAGGACGAAGATGAAGATGATGAACCGGTGGTTTCCCGTAAAAGGGGACAGTTTCGTACCTGACATTACAACTGGGACACAGAAATAGTCCTCAATTGATTCCTTTATTGGTTGAAACTACTTGTGCTACGGCTACCCTAAGACAGGAATTGCAATCTGCAGTGGAGAGGTCCTGCGTGCACTGCGCAAGGCTGCACAGCGTAATATATTCGACCCTGCAACATGCGCTTCCTTGGTTGCAAACTTGGAAGGAGCCTTGGAAATCTCGGTGACTAAATCATTCAAAATACTCTTCATTACGTGATTAAATCCGGTTGGTTCATCTGATAGTGTTGCATTAACTTTCGGTACTGGCTGGATGGAAAGCATCGTTTCGATGAAATCAGGCAAGTATTGCACAATGGAAAAGAATGACTCATCTGAGTACCTTAACATACAGTTCTTGCCGTACCACCATACAACCCGTTTACTTGTGGGGCAGCTCCGGACTACCATTAGGATTGCGGCGTTCACGCATTGCGCACAAACGTCTACCTCAACGTCACCACGACAGAGGAAGCAGCCGTGTGCCATTTCAGTTGGTTTCTTACCAAAGGTGGCGTCGTAGAAGCCTGTTTCGTTGGTGGCATTGGAGTTGAGAGCGGAGAGGAGGTTGTTTAGATTGGTGGACGGGAATTTGGAACTGTCAGTCAATGGTGGGAGTAGTGGCGTCGCAGCTTCTGACTGTGTGTATACCAGGATCACCGCCACTGGTCAAACTGACCAAGCTAAGCATGCATACGGAGATCACAAACATTCGACGGATGAAGATCATCGGCATATTTATATCGTAATCCGAAAAATGAAAAAGCGCATTGCTGTCAAGTTTTTGACGATGGTGCTCCATCGAAATCCTTAGGAATGATTGAATACCATAGACGTCTTATTACTGTATAGATGTAGATTATAATCTGTACAAATATATAAATGTATATCATCGAAATCCTTAGGAAAGGCAGGGGTGCGATGGTCATTTTTGAGAGACTTTCATTTCCTTTCTTTCTGAGCTGCAGTGGGACTCGGGGAGACCATGCCCCGTAAGCAGAGAGAGAAGGGAAACAGAGGTCGCTGGTACTGACGACATGTAAATCGGAGCCGGCGAGAACGGCGGCGGAGAAGCTCAGCTCGACCCAGAGTTGGGTTTCTGCAACATGCTCTTCTTCTTCCTCTTCATCTTCTGGTGCTTCTTTCCCTCCAACTTGCAATTTTGTTTTTAAATGTTATCTGTTTGGTTGGTTTGTTGGGATCTTTTCATATTATTTTGATATGGCTTGTTGATTTTGCTTTTCTTGCATTTTAGTGTGATTAATATTGTGAATCAATGAGTAGTTTCCATTGGGACTATAAGTACAAAGAGTAATTTAATTCTCCGTACCCATATTCTGATTAGTTGCTTCTAGTTTGTCATCGAAAATGTTAGGTGTTTTGTGTTCGACATATGAAGTGACAAATGTGTGTTGGTACTGAAAAAGAAGATGAATTTAAAAGAATAGAATCTTTAGGACCAACTGATGAAAAGGATCAGAGAAAAGGTTGTCGAATACAATCTTGGTCATGCATCTGTGATGTTGTAAGAGCTCTAATACTATCGCTGTAACATGGAGAAAGGAACAGTCCACAGATATCGAAGTTGTCCTAGAAGTGCTGTTATAGCACTGGAGGGCTTTCGTGCATTTTTGTTTTGTCTGAGTGTACATTGTTATTATTGTTATTGTTGTTTTTGGTGTTGTGGGTGGAACCGTGGAAGCGAGGGAGTGGTGGCTTACAGTGTGATTCTGTCCGTCGTATTTCTTTATGATTGTTTGATTTTGGTTTCTCGTTTAAAATCTCGATGTCTAAGGTGCAAAACGAGGAGGGAATCATCACCGAGCTCTACATCCTGGGAAAATGGTACGAATCTAATCCGCAATTTTTTTGTATGATTGTTTTTGGGAATAATTTGTGGTTTTTTTGTGGATACAGTTCGGAGACGAACAAGTGATCACCAAGAAGATATGATAAAGGATGGAGGGAATGAAGTATTGTTTAATGATCAAATCACGAAGCGGAGAACAACATGGAGTGGTTTTGATTCTCATGCCCTGCCACATGCTCAAACACATCAGAGTAATTGAGAGCTAATTGTACAATATTTATGATTTAGGGCTTGCATTCATTAGAATGGACACACATTCTAAATTAGGAATATCATAACATTGTCTTGCTAAAATTCCAAATGGAAAGCAGTCCATACCTTCATTAGATGGGAAACTGAAAGTATATGAATTATGATGTGCAGAACTTAAAAAATTATGGGGAATTCCATTTGGTTATCTGCCAAACTATCTTGTAGCTTGCTTTCTAAACATGGGTACCTTATCAGCTGCTGCCTTCTCTCTTTGAAAGTTATTTAAATTTCATTTAATTTGTCATGCTAAATATCATATCAGCTCAGCCTACCAAAAAAAAAAAAAAAAAAAAAAAAGAAGAAGAAGAAGCTGAGTAGGTTGTAACATCTCCCTCAACGAGAAAGAACCAAACATAATTGATTCTTATCGAACAATGCAATTTTATAAGATTTCATGAGTGTTGAAGTTTGTCCTCAATGTCCTCGTATTGTCAAAACTATTATGCATGTTACGAATGGTCTGATAGTATTCATATGGGGTTTAGGGTTCAATGTTCACATTCTTGCTTCGTGTGTTTTTAATCTTTTCTAACCAACTACTATGTTCTGATTCATTATCCTGTTAGTTAACTCTCTATACACTTTTGTGTAGCCATGGGTAATGAAAAGGGAAACAGTTATTCGTGCCAAGTTGTTTTCTAAAATTAATTATGAGCTTTATGTGCAATGTGGAGAATGTGTGGGTTATTATTTCTTTCTGCTCCTAACTTTCTTGGGAACTTTCAGGTATGAGGGAAGACTGGGTTGCGAAAAATGCAAAACAACCAGCTCCTAAACCGGAAGATTTGAGCGTTAGTTCCAACAATTTGGTAAAGGATGGAGCGAGAAGAAGCAATACTTTTTTACGGTGGCGGAAGCTGCTCCTCAAATTTCCGTAGTTTATAATAATTAACCAAATAAAAGTTCTTTCTTTTGATTATTGTCCAATATATTTTGGCCAGTTGACAATCCTAAAAGATTTACTTACGCGCACATCAAATTTGTGTATTATACATGTACCTAAGAGGTAATGCGAGATATCTCTTTATAGTTGTCTCATATTCTATAAAAAGATTTCAAGTACTCTCTCTCTGCATGAAAACTATGTATCCATTTCATCATGCATTTTTTAGTGAAGCTACAATGTTTTTGTAATTTTTTTGACAGCGGAGGACTGAGGCTAAACTACCTCCAATTTGTTCAAGAGGCTTCAGCTCATGCCGCTATTTGCTTCACAGACCTCTACGGTTAGCTTCCATGCAAAATGTTCTGTGTTTGGTTGCTGCATGTTTGTAATTTTGCTTGCTACTTGATTATAAAAATGCAAAACAAAATCTGTCCTTGATTACAAATTTGTATTCTAAGTTTAGACGTTTTTCCAGTGTAGGGCATATCTTGCACATGCATGTAAATGGTACAAATTGTTTCTGGTTTTGGACAATAAGCTTTTGAGTTTTACAATACTTGCAAGAGGACTATGACTCAAGTGAACAAATTTAGTGTTTGGGGGATAGAGTTGGTTGTCTTTAATACATAATATAACAAAGGCCTAGAAATTTTCCTTCAAGGAATATGCATATGTTTTTTTTGCATCTTGGCCTGCAATTTATGTGAAGGGCATTAATGTGTGTTATCTGCATTGATGTATTTGAGGGTGTGATTTTGTTCTTACCGCCTTTTTAGTGCATCTTTCTGTGCAAATTATTTTTGCATGTTGCGACTAATACATTCAATCTGCGTAGCAAAGCGCGAGCACATTTTCTAGTAAGAACTATTGTGAGGTAAATCGTAAATATAGGGAGGTGATTTACTATAATTTTAACCATTAGATTGAATAAATCAAATGAAAACAACATACATGATTAAACAAACAGTGGGGCAGAGAAATAGAGGTAAATCGTAGAGCTAAGATGGATCCTGACACCTATCATAATCCTCAGTTTTCTTTGCCCTCTGTCATGGCAGAATTTGCATACCAGTGGGGCATGGATTTGTCGGGAAATAGTCTTTATTTAGATAGATTGACGTGTTATATTGTCACGTACATTGTCATCCTAGACCAGTGATAATGTGCGCTCTTTCTTTGATATGTGGGTCCAAAGTACATTGTCAACCTAGACCAGTTATAATGTGCATAATGTGCACTCTTTCTTTGATATGTGGGTCCAAATTCATAGTATAGAAATGTATTCATTTTCTCTGCATTGACTCGACCTATGATACTATTGGTTGAAGGATTATTAGTTTTTATCATGTTGTGCCACTGTCTATGCTGAGCCGAGATTTCAAATTACAACGCTAGAATACAAACCATAGTTGAACATAATAAAATAAACAAGAAATAAAGACACCGTTAATTTTACGAGTTTCGGCAAAATTCTGCCTATGTCCCCAAAAGAGATATTGCTCTTTATTCTGAGAATAATAATAAATGCAAGATACACTTGAGTTAAATAAACATAAATCAAAACCGAAACCCTTCTACACCATCTCACAGTATTTCACAAGAGCTCACCCAACCCCAAGATGCCACTCTTTTTTCTCTTATTTTCTCTCCTCTGTGTTTTCCCCTTCGGATGCTTACCAAATGCACAAATATTGCATCTAGTTAACACCTGCAACCCATTAAACTGACACCAACAACCAAGACCAATTGGTCTTTAGTTCGCATGCCAAATTCAAACTCTTTGCTGTACGTAGTCTATAGCGTGCAATCCTTGAACGAAGACTTCCACGCCACAACCGAAAACAAACACATGGTCTTCAATTGTTGTTGTCAACACATGACCCACAATTAATCACAACAATTAAGTCTATACAAATGAATTTGTTTTGGCATAGAAACTTTCTATCAGCTTTCACCATCCTGTTCGGGATAAAATCTACGAAATGCACACTATTAGTTTCAACTGCGGAAGTAATAAACTAAGAGGCAAAGGAACATAAAAAAGACCTTATGGGAGTCAAACCGATCCTGATGCTCTGATATTTCATAGATAAAAAAGACCTTGCGGGAGTCAAGACCGAATGGGTTTGCTCTAGAACATACAAGTTTTCCTTTAAAAAAAGAAATCGATAAGATACAAATTACGAAATCTTGACATGCGAATCTGATACTCGTTCTAGATTCTGGTAATATATACCACATGAAGTACAAGCTTGAATTCACCCTACGCCAAATGCATCTAAGTATAACGCAACAGTACAAAATAGTAAATGGACTGAAGTCTGTCAGACAAGTTATCAACTATACTGTTTTTATTGATCAAGCAAATCGGAGAACTTCAACTTCCACATAAGGAAACAAGATTATTACGTACATGCCAATACTTAACAATATGCTTATTCTAATCCAACATTTTATCTGCTCGAAGTTTGTTTCTGATCTGACACATCTCAGCCATAGCATCAACGATGTCCGACCTTTCCCCAGGTATGTCTGCGGAGCATGCAACACCAACTCCTAAGATTGAAATCAAGCTCTCTTCAAATGTCATGCGAATTGTTGTGCTAGCCTCAGTTAGATGCTGATTTGCACTCATCTCCCCTTCCACTTTTTCTTGAATAAGAACCGGATCCACAATATCTAACACCTGCTCAGGCAGTGCTGCCTTGACAAAGTTGTGAAGATTTGAAGATCCTTGAAACATGTCGCCGGTTGGCCTTTTTCCCGTAAACATTTCCAGTAGGAGGATGCCGTAACTATACACATCACCTTGCGGCCACACTTCATGCCCCATACCATACTCTACATTTGTGCAAATGTTTTTATTTTAATACGTAAAAAAAAAAATCTAAATTATAGATGAATACTGAAAAAAAAATGAAAAGAAAGTATGTTTTACCTGGAGGAGTATAACCAATTGTTCCTTTGACTCCGATGGAGCTTGACTGATTACCAAAACCATCTTCAAGAGTTCTTGGAAGGAATCTCACCAACCCAAAGTCACCTACATGTCCAATCATATCATTGTCGAGAAGAACATTGCTGGGTTTGAGGTCACAATGAACTATTGGCACGTGACACAGATGATGGAGATAATCCAATGCCACTGCAACATCTATAGCAATGTTCAACCTCTGCGAAAAAGTTAAGCTCCTTGGCCTCTGATCCGTATCAATACTTGTCTGAGTTGGATGCAACCATTCTTCTAAGCTCCCATTTACCATGAACTCGTAAATTAAGGCCTTGAAATCAGAACCACGATAGTCGAATCCGGAGCATGCAGAAAGTACCTTCACAAGGTTACGGTGTCTAATATTTTTCAGAGCCTCACACTCAGCAATGAAACTTTTGGAAGCTCCATGTCGATCGTGGTTGAGTACCTTGATAGCAATTGTTGTTTCACCTTGATCAAGTAATCCTTTATAAACTGACCCAAAACCTCCCATACCAATCAAATTGGCAGAAGAGAATCCATCAGTAGCTTTAACAAGACTTTGGTAAGAAACCTTAGGAAAATTTTCAGAATCGCTCGAAGGATCCTCCTTTTTTTTACTCCGAAAGCAACAAAAGTACAAAACGGCAAATGAAAAAAAGGCTCCAGAAAGCCCACAAAGGAGAGAGATTACTAGTTTCAAGGTTAGGCTCAACACCCTTTTGCTGGAATGTCGAAATTCGCATTTTGGCAATTGAAACTCTGGTATGCCCCCACAGAGCTTTGTATTCCCTTGGACTGATGTGGCAGTTGCATTCCGAAAAACTCCTGCGATAGGTACTGCTCCCTCTAAATTGTTATAAGACAGATTCAAGGATTGCAGAAATGTAAAATTCTCCAAGAATTTTGGAATTGTCCCTGACAAATTGTTGCGAGCGAGAGATAAGGTTTCAATACCTCTTAGTGAGCTCAAATCTGTTGGAATTGTCCCTTGGAAGAAGTTTTCTTGCAAGTGAAGATACTGTATGCTTTTACAACTTCCAAGACTTGGAGGAATTTCACCAGACAACAGATTTCCAGAAACATCAAAATGCTCTAGATTTATCAATTGTCCGACTTCCATGGGAAGAAAGCCTGTCAAATGATTTTGAGATAAATCCAAATGAACATATGAAGAAGACGAACGAATTAATTCTGATGATATGATACCAGTGAAATTGTTACCACCAAGAGTTAAGTTCATCAAATAGGGACACTCAGCTAAAGTTGAAGGGATGGTGCCCTGGAGGTTGTTATCATGTAGATGCAGATGAGTTAATCGACTTAAATTTCCAAAAGATGATGGAACATTCCCAGAGAGCGAGTTTTTTTTCCATATATACTACATATAATTTGGAAAGCCTTCCTATTTCAGGAGGGATGAGACCTGATAACCGGTTGCCAGACAGCGCTATGCTTTCCAGGTTATGCAGATTTTCCATCCCTTTCGGGATACTGCCAAATATACTATTATAGTCTACGTAGAAAGATACAAGTGAAGAAGACAGGTTGGCTAAGCACTGAGGCAGCGTACCCCAAAAGTTGTTTCCACCCATTTCCAAGTATTGTAAACCGGTGGCATTAGTCAGATCGCAAAGAAAGCTCAAATCATCACCAGTTCCTTCACTTCCAAGATGGTTAATAGCAAGAGTAAACCGCCCAAGATTGTGTAAGTTTTTCAAAGAGGGGACTTCTCCGTGCAGTTGGTTTTTGTGTATTGCTAGTTCAAACAGATTTGAGGCATTAGATATTGAAACAGGTATAATCCCACTAAACTGGTTATTACTGATGGCAAAAGTTTGGAGACTTGGACAGGAATTGCCCAAGTTTGAAGGAAAAGTGCCTTGGAGGTTGTAATTAAGTCCCACAGCAAAGGTTTCAAGAGAAGAGACATTGAAAATTGAGGGAGGGATCGTACCAGACAAGTTATTTCCATCCAATCCAAGAAAATAAAAATTGGTCAATCGACCAAAGATATCTGGAATACTGCCACTTAAACTATTAAAAGCTGCACCAAACACTTCAAGAGATGATGTGTTGCTAAAAGAGTAAGGGATACTTCCTGTATGGTGGTTGTATGCAATATCGAATATAATTAGCTTTAACAAGGTGCCAAGCTCCTTAGGGATACTACCTTCTAACAAATTGCCGCCAATAATTATGTAGTTGAGTTCAGAGCAACCTGATAAATTAGCAGGAATTTCCCCACTCAGTGAATTATTTTGCAATCCCAAACGTTGCAACCTGCGCAGACGGCCAATTTCTGAAGGGATTTCATGGCTAAAGCTGTTGTTTGAGAGACTAAACACTCTGAGGAAACTCAAATTTCCAACATGTGGCGATATGGAGCCTCCAAGCTTCAAGGACCTCAGCGTCAACGTTGTGACCCTCTTGTGGCGGTGACTGCAGGTAATGCCGTGCCATTGGCAAAAGTGGAGGGTTTCGTTCCATGAAGTCATGACTCCAAAGGGGTCTGTGGTTATCCAAGCCTTGAATTCGAGCAAGGCCAGTTTATCCGTCTTGTTTGATCCGGCGAGGGCCAAACTAAGAAATGAGTTCAGAACAAATGCATGCATGCAGAAATATGAGAAGAAGAGAAGGGGTGAAATGAACTTGTAAATCCCCATGGTATCAGTTTTCTGTGGAACTTTAGTTTGGGTAAGCTGCGTTTGTCTAGCAGCTTGAGCAGAACCCAATTTATAGGAATTCTTGTGAGGTAAAATATAGGGAGGTGATTCACCCTTTATATAGAGCTAAGATGGATCCGAACATCTTTCATAATCCTAACAGTTTTCTTCCCCCTCTCTCTCACGGCAGAATCTTGTATATCAGTGGGGCATAGATTTGTAGGGAAATCATCTTTATTTAGATGGTCTGACACGTTATATTGTCAAGTACGTTGTCAAACTAGACCCTTGATGGTGTGCACTTTTTATTTGATATGTTGTCCAAATTGATAGTATTCCAACGAAATAGTACTTGTTTGTTCATACTATACAAACTAGCCTCCATGCACTCGCTCATGCGCATGCGGAAGGCTCTTTTATACTTACAGCGTTCTATGCGCGACTTATACAATTTAGATGTATATCTACATAGATTTGAAAAGTGAATTAAACATCATAATGAATGTAGCCTTATCGTATATTTGATGGAAGCAAAATATCTTCGTACACAACATGGTTAGTGCAAAACTCAATTTCACAGGAAACTGTTTTCGCACCAGTTCACATGGGAGTCCAGTGCTTTCTGTGGTCTTTAAAGAGATTCTCGGTAAAAACACTGTAGTTCCAGCAAATTGGCCAAATAAGATTTCAGCATCAATTAGACTATTATAAGCTCCATGGTAAGCTAGTCTGGTACCTGTTATTTTGTATTGGGATAAGGGTTATACTAAACAATGTTTTCACCAAAATTTAATGATAAAAAGACCAGAATAGAAGTTTAACATGAGTGTCTACCTCTAAAATGATAATCCTACCATTCCCCTGCATACTTGATGTCTTTTAAGTCCACCTGCTAGATGCTAAAAAAAAAAAAAAAAAAAAAAAAACACAAAACTGGTAACACAATTTGAACAAAAAGAAAGTTCTCAAACATGGAAAAATTCAATTTCATGTGACAAACCTACGTTCTAATTTCAGGGCTTGACAATGCAAAACCTATGTTCAAACATGGAATATTGGAATTTGCATTTCATTCAAATAAGTAAACTGATAAAGCAAAAGGTAACATAATCTATGTCGAATTAATTATCCATCCAAAAAAAACAAAATCTATATCAATTTAATTATCCATCCAAAAAGACATTTGAACGAAGAATATTTTTAAGGATCCAAACAACCATTAAACAAAACAATTAAAAGTAAAAACAACAAAGCATTCGTTGAAGATATATATATATATATATATATATATATATATATATATATATATATATATTATATAACGTATTTGGTTCTTTATACCTAAAAGAAAAACATTGGCTTTCTTGTATGCACCGAAGTATGCATAAGTGTCGGAAATTTACAATCTATAGACTCAATCTCAGACTCAAAAGACATTTAAAGGAAAAGTAATAAGAAAAATAAGTAGTGGTTTTACCTATACTCCAATTTCCAATCACAATTCAAAATTCAAGAGGCCTATAAATCAAACATATAGGAAAAGATTAGTAGAAGAAAAAAGAAAAAAAAAACTGAAGTCAAAATAGCATCTAACAAATCATTTAGAACCATGACAAAAAACAATTTTTGCATATAAGTAATTTAACGGAATACCATCAGGTCATGCATATATACAACGTACCCAATTAGATAAGTAGCACATCAAAACTCTGCATAAAACTTTGCATAAAATTAAAGGAATAGAAAAACAAAAATTTGACACATACCATTTTTTTGGTCTCAACCAACCTCATTCGAGAATCTTCATTAAACCCTAAACATCAATAGAAATCGAGGATCAGAAAGAATTAGACAAAATCACATATTTCAAATCAAAGATCAAAGCCGCCCAAATACCAAACTATCCATTAAAATGACTGAAAACTTAAAAATTAGATGTGTTAAGAAAAAAAACCTTATCGTAGGTTGAGCACCGCCTTCAAGGAATAAGAATCGAGACTCTAATCTCCTTTCATTCATCGAGATCTTCTTCACCATTGATACTCGACATTGGTTCTACTCAATTGTAGACTTCAGCAAAGGACTGAAGTAGCTGGATATTCACTCCATCCAAAGATAAAATAAAACATCAACATCACACTCCGAAATTTGAAGTTGAATTAAATCTCTAGATTGATCGACAATTGTAGCTAAATTTTTTACAAAACCCAATTTTGAATACAAAATTCAAAAATTCGAAACAATCCACAAAAAGGAGTATTATACCATTGATCAATCTAAATAGAACTACGTTAGCAAAGCAGACAATTGTATTCCCTCTAGGAATATTCTTGTTTTGTTACTTTACAAAGCTAATTTGTTTCAAAAGATTGAAAAAGCAAGTGGCTTTCATTTTTGAAATCCCACAACATGAGTAGATTAAAGAGACAGTTTCTTCAATTGTATTGAATACCACTAAACCACATCATGACATCATCTAGCTGGCAAGAAAAAGGCATTTATTTATACAATCAGAAACAATAGAATTATAAATGTAAGTTATGTGATCTAATGGTTGAAAACTATGTAAATCACCTAGATATCATCAAGAAATAAAAAGTATATGAAAACTGAGAACTTACTTGAGCAGATAATGTTTTTAAGAGCAGTAAAAGTTTTGTTGGATTGAGTTGGTTGCGAAGAGGTATTTCCTTGCTGGACAAAGCTATTTCCTTGCATGTTAAAATTATTAGGCTAACTTAGATTTACAATGTTTGAGAATTGCATTTATACATAAATAATTACACATATATAAAAATAAAAAGAATAAAGGAAGATAGAAAACGGGGAACTGCATGTATAGTATGCTTTTAGTGTCAAATATGACAGTAATGTTGTTAGAAGGCGAGCCAATTTCTTATTACTTTGTAATACCTGGTGAGCAGGAACTTGCAGGTGAGCTTGAGGTTAAGGTAGTTTTGAAATAAAGAAGGCTAAGAATGATAACGACACCTGAATATCTGCAAGGAAACTGAAATCCCATTACTTTCATCGCAAGGGTTTTTAGGGTGAATCTTATAGAAATGATGTTTTGAATTTCATTTTGTGAACCCGACTAAAGGAAAATTGTAATAAAGTATGCTCTTGAAAATTCTTTCTATTTCAAAATAACATCTATATAGAGAAACAAAAAACCAAAATGAAATAACAATTAGGCAAGAACTAAAAGAATGAAAACAAAAATGTCCAACCATAAGAGAAATAACAAAGGTGGATAACATAAGAGTGTTCTTTCTTTAGCTATATTGTGAAGAAGCATTAAAAATTACTAAAAGAACGAAGGAGCACAATAAAATATAACATATAAAGTATTTAACACTATTAAACATGAAATACCACAATTTAGGGAACTAATAAGGCTTAGAAAAATTGATCCATATGCTTTGTATATATTTTGGTCATTATAAATCCACTGTAAAACAAAATTGTATACTAAGCTAATTATAATTGTTGTAGTACACAGAGTTTGGTGTAGAGCAGTTTGATATATGACTAAAATTCACATAAAATTCGATATCCATGTAAAGAGTTAACGTTTGCAGAAGCAGAGCCTCAAAAATAACTAACCTCATCGACAACCCTTCCATTTGAAAGATCAAAGGCTGCATCATTCAGGTTCAGACATGCCAAAAACACAATTTCAAAAACTCTGCCATCTCAAAAGTCACATTATCTATCAAATTCAACACCTGGGTAATCCACACAGATTGAATAAACCCTATTCACATCGAGATGGAGATCTTTCAGAAGCAACAGAGAGTAGTCCTGTGGAAGATCAAAGCTGTTCTGTACAGGAAATAAAAAAAAATTGAAAAAAAATCAAAACTGCATCATTCAGCTTCACACACGCCAAAACACAATTTCAAAAACCCTACTCACATCGAGAACATTCTAAAATGCATATATTTTCCTACACATACATTAGTTTCTAGGTGATTCGCGCACCACCATATCTTTGATTGCGTGCCTGAAAAGAAAAACAAAAACCCAATTCATAAAATTGGAAAACTAAAGAGTTCATAGCTCTTGGGAAGAGCAAAGCTGTTCAAAACCCACAAACCTAATAGTTATTCTACACATACACAAAATCTGTTTAGTAATAAAAGCATTAAGAAACTAATGTAATTTTCAGCTTCTAACTCATTCATTTGATCAACATATTGATGGAACTAATGTAATTTTCAGTTTCTAACTAATTCATTTGATCAATATCATCCGAGTCAGAAAAGATAGAACACAAAAATGATTAGGATATATAAATAGACGAAGGACTGTCACAGCAAAACCAATTAGTTGGTGAAAAGTGACCAAGGAATAAGGACATAAAATGCCTAATAAAAAAAAACAAAGAAACCGATTACTGTAAACAATTAAAATTGAGAAGAAAAGAGTAATACAACATATCACAAATGGGAAAGGACTTACCTTTACTTCGTCAATTATGGCCAAACAAAAACCCTAAACTTTTCCTTGTCTCTCAACTGTGGACTGAAAGTTTGAATGCATAAAAATCAAAACCCAAATTGAAATTCTAACCAACCCAATAATTTTTACTTAAAATACAATTATTTTGGGAAAGCAATTGACTGAATGGGCTAGAATGTAAACTAAAGTAGCGTAAGTAAATAAAAATGACAATTAGCCAAATTTATATGCACCCAAATGAGGGGGAAAGAAGAAAGAGAAAAACTTTAAGATACAGGGGCAATGGGGTTTGCAGATGATGAGCATTAATCAATGGAAAATGGCGATTGATAAGTAAATTAGCAAATGAGAATACATGCACATTGAATGTAACAAAATTTCAATTACATGAAATCAATTGTTGGAATTAAGAATATCTGGACATTGAATGTAATGAAATTGCAATTAACAGGAACACACCTGCATAGCCTTTGCTTGCATCTTGACATGTAGCTGCAAAATTCGAACACCAATGTTTCCTTTTCCTGAAAGCAAAA